TTAAATAGCGTCGACAAATATACGTAAGAACACAGATAGTGTTAAGTTTACGTTAGTAGTACTTACTACACGTACCTACCTACTTATATATATATATATATATATATATATATATATATATAGGCCTTATATATTTACACCTCTTTCCTAAATGGGTTAATTAACAAATCACACATACGCTTTTAAGACTTCTGAAATCTTGGATGATTCTGGCAATAAAAATAATGTTATTTTTCTATGTGTGCGCGTGTTTAAACTTCTAGAAATACCATAATACTATTGTTGCGCCATCTAGTATGTATAAAGTACACTTGTTTAACTTTCCATTTTATTACTTAACACTGAATTTTGAACATAATTTTTTTATTGTTAATCGATTCTATGACATGTTTTATCATATAAAAGATTGTTGGGAAGCTATACTTCTACATCGTTGTCATGATAAACAACTTATACGATCACCTAAATCTAATTAGTAACTAATTAATAATTAGGTTTAGGTGATGGTATTAGCTACTATTCGTGACAATGATTTATATCCGATCGCTACAGCCAAATGCACGCATTCTTGTACATTTTCCACTAGAGAGCGCTAAGATTTTTGTAATTTTTTTTATCAGAAGCCAACCTGCAGAATGATAAAAAGATTTTATAAGTTTTCGTTTCGTTATTCCTAGAATACTGTCTGGAAAAATTCCGTTTCATGACTTTAAAAGTGTAGCCAAAGTCTAAAACTAGCATTCGTTGAAACATATTGACATTATGCCATGTTTAAATTTATTTATAAAATAACATATACGAGTCTTGCTTTGTGTATAGTTTGTTCCCACGTGGTGCTTTTCTTTTAACCAGATTGAAACACAAAACTTTTATGCAATCCTTATTCTTGGCTTAAAATTCATATCCATTTTTATAAGTAATTGTTCGTGATATTGTGTTTGATTTCATTTTTTTGTGACTCCATGTTGGATGATGTTAGAACACACCATGCGATCATTTCCGAAATCTGGATTATACACCACCAGAGACCTTCCAATGATGGACGTCGGTCCAGCGAGGGGAAGATTTGGATCAGTGAAGAAGTATTTAGCTAACACTGGTTTGTCGTCTTTCGAAATTTTAAAGACTGGGATGTTCAAATATCCTAGCTTCCCAGAAGTGTCCCCGAGTTCACATCTTGAAGGAGACTTGTCAGAACAATGACAAGGATAGCTCCCTTCAGTGTTAACGTTGTAAGGGTTGTAGCGAGGGCCAGCAACTCCACACTGAGTAACACTGTACCCACTTCCCGTGGGAACAGGACTAAGATGAACATACCAGGGATGATTGTACGTCTTGTCTACTACGTTCTGTGTACCTGCAGGATAGGACAGTTCTATATAGACGGAGGTATCAGCAGTGGGGTCAGCAGCATCCTGCTTGAAGATTACCTGACCTTGTATAGGTGTGTCAAATGTAGAATAAGCAGTGATTAATGGTTTTTCAGTGAGTTCAATGTTTGCGCATGTTAAGGGCTCCCCATTAGGCTTGTAGATGACCAAGGCACGACCCACCACACTATGGATTCCAAATAATGAGAGTGATACGTCTCGAACTTGTTGGAACAATTGTTTCTTATTCTTTAATGTTCCATACTTGCCACTTAAATCCCCTACAGCGAAAAGATCAACACTTCCTTCACCAGGCTCAGGCACAGCATAAGGCTCTGCTTTGAAAGGATTGTAAATAGTACCCTTGATATTAGGACATTGGTCAGGAGTGTCCCACCGAAAGATCAGGGGGTAATCATCAATTCCATAACTGTAAGCTCTCTGTTGAAGGCTGTTAAAGTCGACAACAACAAGAGTTGGGTCAAAGGGTGACTCCTGGCGAAAGGTCACTTGTCCAGTCACTTCTTTTTTAAAAGTGGCTACCGCTACTTTTGGCTCTACACTTAATACGGGAGCACAAGTTAATATTTCAGCAGGATTGGAACTGGAGTATATGACAAAATGAAGCCCACCAATGAGTTTTTCTAGAGGAGGGAGGTTCTGAAGGACAAAGTAAGAATTGCTACTTAAACTGGTGGGTTCTTTTCCAACAGCAACCACGTCGGAGCCCTGAATAAGTGGCACTGCTCCATAGAGATTAACACATCGATTCAGTTCGTTCTGAATGGATTCACTAAGAGTATCGGTTTGCAAGAGAGCCCAACGATGAATAGTATCCTTTTTCGTGCCATTCGTGAAGTAGAGATGAGTGAAGAATCCAGTATCTTGTCCACTCTGCCTAAACACAGCTTTTCCAGCCACTGGCGAATGGAGCTTGGAATAAAAAGTCCGGATTCGAGCTCTAGACTGAATCACCGCGCACACAGATCTACCAGTTTCTGTTCCCCTGAGAACAAGAGTACGACCTAGTATAGACTCAGGGCCACTGAGTTTGAGGTTAGAAACTACTATAGTACCTTCACCGGAAGTCAGCTGCCCATGGACTGTGGCCAAGTCGGCATAGCTGTAAAATAAAAGAGGCACTTAGTCTTAGTAAGGGGAGGTATGTTAATTATCATTAACTGTGAAATGGTCAATGAGTAAACACGTGAATCACGGAATTACAGTATTATGAACAAACTTGCAAAACACTATTAGAGAGTAGCTAAAAGCATGCAGCTATTATAAGCTAGTACTGATGACCAAATATGTATATTATTTAATTTCTGTAGTGCATATTGGAGTATAGAAGACTTATTAATACTAGAAATAAACGAACTTATAACAATGTTGTTTTTATTTAATTAGAAATTCGACGTTTCGTTTTACAGCTTCTTCAGGAGCGTTCAGTAAAACAGAAACCGAAAATGACATTACAAAACTTCAAATAATTTGAAGCTTTGTACTGTCAGTTTCGGTAAAAACAACATTTTGATGTTATAAGGTCGTTTATTTCTAGTGTTATATATGTATGTTACTATTAATCGTATAACTATAAGCTAGTACTAATGACTATATATGTATGTTACTTTCAACATTCAGCAATTCCAATTTAAATATTTACATTTAACTAAAACGATCTTTGCAGTGAACGTGTTAGCTACATGGCATTTTCAAAAGGATTCCTCACTTTTTATGAAAGTTGCTTTTCTCAATGGACTTATGAGTACATTTTCACATTTTAAAGGATTAACACTACATTTTTTCACTTTTTTACAGGGTTAACACAACATTTTCACTTTTTTACAGGGGTTATCACCACATTTTTCACTTTTTACAGGGTTAACACCACCTTTCTACTTTTTACAGGGATTATCACCACATTTTCACTTTTTACAGAGTTAATACTACATTTCAATTTTTTACAGGGCTAATACCAATGTTGTGTTAACTCTGTAAAAAATTGCAAAAATGTTTTTCACTTTTTACAGGGG